CCGCTTTTGAAGATTCCCCGTTTTAAAGATTCCCACTTTTAAAGATTCCCATTCCCCGTTCGCTATTTTAAAGATAGCCACTAACCAACCACACAGTTGGGTAGGGTAAGTCTAAAATTACCACCAGTGATCGACGTTACCACCAGCACCTTTGTTTGGAAGCCTGGCAGATCAACTTTGTCCACGCCCCTTTAAATCGTGATGGCGGCTTACTACCTGACGCCTATTAACACCTTGTCAGAAAAAAAGGCAGCTAATTAGTTTGCTTAGAAAAGGAGCTCTTGTTGCAGCGATTAGATCACCCCTGATGAAGGCACTAGACAGGAGTGTCGAGATGCGTCTTCTCGGTTGCTTTTATTAAATCTCTATGCCAGAGTAGCATCAAACCAAACAATTTCACGAGACTTTCAAAATGAACAACAAAGCACTTAATCTTAATGCCTATAATCAACTGAAGCAACCTTTGACGGCGTTGGCCAAAACAAAAACTTTCGTGTGGGTCCATAGCAAGGTCAGAAGACAAATTAAGCACGTCCACTTATGGAATTTAGACCAGCTGTCACAATTCGGAAACCCATTACAACAGCTTAAACCTAATATGACTTCGGAATTCGAAATCATACAAAGAGTTGGTTCAAAACAAAAACAAACGACGGTGTTGCATCAAGGTTGGAAATGGGCCTTAACTTGAGGTACATTCTAGTTATAAACGAAAGGTTAAATCATTCTGAAGTGACGGTAACTAAATGACTAGCTAATCATAAACTAACAAAATACTTCATAACAGAAGGATCCAGGAACAACAAGGCCGTTAACCAGTCTCTTTGATCTTCAGTCAAATAAAATTCGAAGCTTTGATCTCAATCTGCTGTCTCTCTCAAAAAAAAAAATAAATAAAAAAATATAAGCGCCCCGTTTCGAATAAGCAACCTCCCTTGCGGTTACAAAAGTAAACGAGCGCCTCGTGCGCCAAATCGAATCCTCACGGATCATCACGGTAAATAAATTTATGGCTGAATTCTATTTCCAAGATCTTACAAAGTGGCATGATTTTAATAAGGGAAACAACATAACCAATATCAGATGTCAGAAAACTCATAGATTTATAAATTAGCAATAATGACGTCTTGACAAGGTGTTACTTGTTATCCAAGGTTTTATTTTAGATGTTTTTGTACTTTTTGTTTACAGATTAATATTTCAGTAATTACATGTATTAATGTATTTTCAGCTGATGTCACAAGCATAGAACTTAAGTAAATGAAGTATTGATGCACGAATAAATGCCCATCTTCAAGAGTTTACAAAAGGGCAGAATCATCACCCTCTATCCACAGAGGAAAACATGTCTCCAATTCAGTTATGGTTGCGAGTCTTTAAAGATTTTCATTCTCTGCAGAGCAAGCACAACTATTGGTATGTTGAAGGTACGTGTACTGTTTCCCATCTATAATGTATGTTGGCACAGGACTAATATCAAATAATTCCCAATTGGTCCAGGTCTGTTTGTTCTGAAATAGTTCCTTTGTTCTGGCATTTCTACTGAGTTTGAAATATTTATTACATGACTTCTTATGCTGTGTGAGAGCCCTATCTCAACAAATTAATTTTTTCCCATTTGGATAACCTTTGCTCTAACATTTCATTTTTATGATAAAAATCCTACAATGAGAAAAAAGCAGTTTATTGTGGTCATGACTGCAAAAGTACAGCCTAACCTGCTATTAGCAGACACCCTTAGGAAAAATCATCGCTTTCTGCTTGAAGGAGGTTGAAAAATATTGATAAAAAGGAACGGGTAAGGGTAAGGCAGTCAGGCTGCCCCCAAGGGAAGTTAACTTTACTTGGTGGATTTTGTTTTCATTTACTTACATACAAGATGACCAGCTGGACAGAGGACTAACTGATCTAATGTTTCTGTCCATCTACATGTAATTTCTATTCCACTGGTGGACAATATTCATTATGGCATTGATTGGAATCACCCCCGACCTGATTTTCAATGGGATGGAAACATTGTACTCCTGGATGACAATGCCTGTGGAAGTTTCTGATATAGAACTACCTAGTATCATGATGGCAGTAAATGATCTATGTGTATGCCTCGAACAGAATGGCCCTGTGGCTGAGAGTCAATGTCTGGGATTTGATATCTACCTTAATCTTGTGTTAAATTTGAAGGCATTAGTTAATGTATACATGTAGAAACACTTGAGTTCTATGTCAATGTGATTTTTCTGTATTACCAAAATGGTACTGATATAAGGACTAAGTACTTTTGGTTATTGTGATGCTAATTAAAAATACAAAAAAATGTATCACAAATGAAGACAAACCATCATCTTTTTCACATATTTTTCTCCACAACACAAAGGAATACTTTGGGAAAATTTGTACAATGTTTTGTAGTTGAAAAACCAAATCTAAAAAACATGCCATTTACTGATTCTGTCCTTAAAGTACATCTATACATGTATAACATTGATGACTGTGCATGCAAATTCAAACATTGTGGTTTTAAAAGCAACATTTTAATAGTCCTATAGAAAGGAACTGCTAATCACTGCATAACACATCACTAAATTAAGAGTACTTGTAAGTATAATACTGAAATCCCTATTGTAATTTTTAGTAAGATTACTAAGAAGACTTAACTGTTGTGAAAAACATCAACTTTCTTATTCATAATTAACTTTCCCTGACTGCACTGATAACCACAACTAAGCAAAATTGTTTGAGGCTGGTTTTCACTTACATCAGAGTCATAAGCTAAGTCAATGTCACAGAGAAAACTCCATGAAATTGGACATTTGGGTCATTGTGATTGGTTTATTTTTATGTTTCTGCTTGCAACTCTGACATTCTAGTTTTTATGAGATCAGAAGGGACAGAGTCACAAGCAGAAT